ACCAGGCTCGCGGACAAAGTACGCGAGACGAACCGTACGGTTGGACTCGTCAGGATCGTGGACGTTTTCTAGAGCGTAAGTCGAAAGCAACCGTGATAACCAGATATTTCAAAGTATTTTTCAGATTCCAGTATACGTAGAAGAACGCGAGGAACGTGTTCCGATCGTGCAAATCGAATATCGTACTTTCAGTCGTTGCTCCATTATTCGTCGTTTCTTTAAAGTTTGGCGATTTGGACACGGCGTTCTCGCATTCAGCGATGAAATACCAGTATTATGAATGTATAAAATTAGGCTGTACGAGACGAGCAAGGTGTATGTGGTTTAAAAAAAAAAAACGAGAAAACTTAGAGAATCGAGTCTCACGGTATCGTGCGACTTAACGTTAAGTAATTGCAGCAACAAGTGCATAGTTATAAATCATGCTTTGTAAAATAATGTCTGTATAGCGAGAATTATTATATGGAAAATATATTATACTAAATTTAACTTCCTGCTAGTATCATTTTCATCCCTCACCTGTTACAATTTCTTTTTTTTCGTCGACTAAACAAGTTCGTTAGTATTCATAAGGCGAATAGACGTTATCGAAACGGAAGATCAATGTAGCAAGAAACATTTTCGTTGCTCGACTTCCACTGAATTTCATTATATTCTATGTTGCATTATTATGTTGCAAACACGGCGGGATGTAAAATTTAATTGAACGCTCGGATTAACGCTTCCTTCTTACCTTGGGAAGCTGAAACGACGAGTTGAAAGCGGTCGTAGATTAAAATCGGAATAAATCGGACAGTTAAGAAGAAAAAGGAAAGGAACTGGTATCTGTCCTCTCTTATTTTAGACGATCATAATTATCGCGTTTGTTTACTTATAAAAGTATTAGGATACAAAACGCTTCAAAAAGGGAATAAAATTTCGCCGAAGAGGAAAGGAATTCGAGGCACAAAAAGAAGAACAGATGAAACGGTAGTCTCGTCTTGATTACCGGACGAATTTCAACGCACACGCGCGCGCGTGAGCACTCGTACGATGTAATTTGCAAGGGCCTTACATCGAAGGTAAAAGCCGAGAAGCGTGACAGCGTGCTCCTCGGCCCTTAATCGCGTTTGCTTATTTCCGGCGTTGGTCAGCCGACGCTGCAATTATGTAGGAGCGAGCGCTAACTGCTGCGCAAGGGCTTATTTTATTCCTATTAGGGTAAAACGGGTAGCCAGCAGGACGCGGCAGCATTCTCTTGTATCCCCAATTACGTGAAATTAATTTGGGCCCCATTAGCGGTCGGCCACTGGCACCGTGTTAACGATTTTTCCCAACGGTCTCCCTCTGTCTCCCTTCTCCCCTTTTGATATCCCTAGTACTTTGTCACTCCATTACGGTAACCATCAATTTTAAACTATCTTATTAAAATACTCCGATCGTAGAAGCGCAGCTTTCGTCCTGATTCGGTGAACTTTCAACTTGTCACGCTTACGTTACTTGACGCTGCGTTTCCTGTCAACTTTACGTTGTTTGAACGCTGATGAAACAGTAAGTTTTTAACTTCGCACGAGCTGACTAAGCTGACGACTCGTTTTCGACTCTTGTCAACGATTCGATCCTGTTCCTAAGAATTCGCTGAGCACGACATTCGAATAATTATGTTATTAGCTGGTTTGGAGATTGTTTTGTGGCGTTTTGCACGTAAAGTTGACAGGAAACGCATCAAGAGGCTGAGATTTCGTCATGATAGACGTTAATGATCCTCCGGTGAAAGGATATACTCAGTCTCGTAGAAGTACATACATAATTGAAGTTGAAACTGAAATGTATACTAATCACACGATGTAGTAATTACCCTCGGCAAGAACTATACGCGGTACGGTTTAGGAAACACGATATATTTCACGGAAATATCAATTTAATTTACTTGCGGGTAATAAGTATGCAAGATCCAATTAAAATAAAAGCTTGATTCACTCGAAGAACATTTATGGCGGTGTCTCTTATTAGCTAATAAATTATGTCAGATTTTTCCGAGCGGCTCATTTGCACTATTTTTCGTACAAAAACGTACTAGGGCAATTTCTCTTTCTAAATCCGACGTAAGTTATTGACCAATATCGCAATTTACGTTCCGGGCGTACAACGGAGGAGGAGAGAAAGATATTAAACGGTGGTGTTTTTCCCTCTTCTCACTTTCTACGGAAGCTTTAGCGACCGAAACGAGCGTCACTTCCGTGGGACAATGTCGAGCAAAACGCGTTAAATATCGCGTACTTAGCGCTCGGCTCGTAAAATCTTTGAAGAACCGCGACCGCGGCGCTTTTGCATAATTGCAGACCATGAGCCGGAGAACGGATGTGCTTATTAGCTGAAAGCGGTAGGAAATCACAGTTTCAATTTTTTCCCCTTTTTTTCTCGTAACGTTCACCTTCCCCACGCAGGTTCCTTTCCCGAAGGTGTACGTCCGATGGAAACCGAAGAAGAAGAAGAAGAAGAAGGGAGCCGGCGAGAGGATGTGGTTAACCCACGGTCAAATCGAGCTTTTGCCGGGCTTCTGCATCCTGAAACTGGCGACAAAAGAGAATCACCGGAACAGAAGTACTGCCCCCGCATCCTGTTCCCTCGATCCTTTAACAGCCATGGATTTGCTCGTCGACCAAATCCTTAACCCGTCTCTTCGCGTTAGTCGAAGTAAACGATATATCTTGTTAGCTTATTAGAACGTAATAATATTGTGATTCTAATTGTCCAACGGCGTGTGCATACATCGTTCGATAATAACCGAAAAAGAGCAAGTAGGACGCGATCGTGCTCATACGCGGCTCAATAATTGAGTTATAATCGACGGGTGTACAGTGGCGGATACAGTATTCGAAATATGTAATTTCGATCGATCGGAAACTGATAAAGAGACGATATTATCTGGCAAACGGCAGGGTCAATCGATTATTATCCCGTTATCTTAGGATTGAAATCGTTTCCGGTTGTCTTAACAAGGATCGAACGCGAGACACCTACTTAATATTAATAACACGCTGGTCGGAGATACAAGAGAAAAGGCGGTAGTTAACGGAGCGCGATTGAACGGGTGGACATTTAATAAAATGCAAATAACCGGTCGTCCATCAGTTTATCGATTATCGAGGCCGGTAAATGAAGTTATTTCGTAAGACGTAGTCGCGGATCGAACGCGATGCGACGCGACAAAGCGTTCCGCTTGCACGCGCGAACCACGAAAAAAGGTGGCAGAAGAAATGGTACCAACAACGAGGGCCAACCTGAACGGGGAAAGGGAGGAGAGGAAAAAGGTGGATCGAGGTGAGTAAGAGCGTATAATGTGTCCCAAAGGCACCTGCCTCGTCGAGCTTACTATCTTCCCATCGAATGGTCGCAAGAAAAGTAGCTAGGACTCGAGTTAGCCGATCTTATCGAAGTCCCGAGACCAGCGAACCACTTATATCGTTAATTGCTCCCACTTCCGGTCACCTTCTCCCTCTCGCTCGCTTCATCTTCTCCGTCTCCCTTCTGCACCTTCGCTTTTATCCTGTTGACCGATGCGCGCGCCCTAAGAGCACGCATTATGGCTCCGTTAAAGCACGAAAAGCCGGCAGAGACCGAGCACGGAAGCTCGTATGCCCATTTTAAGCGGTCTCCTGTAAAAATGACCGTTCCAATTGCTTCTCGGACAATGCACCTTCATCTAAC